TACTGTGACCAAATGTTAGCATCTGGACACAGGAGAATTAGCCAAATACCGTGACTAACGATTGGCATCTAGTCACGGGAAACAATTTTATCACGGTAAGTACTGTGTTAAAAGCTCTACATCCCGTCTCTAAATGAGTTTTATTTCTTGGTTTTGTGTGGCAAGACTTGACATTAGTCACAGGGCCTCATGTGATTAGTAAGTATATATTATCACGTGAAATCATACAGTGACTAGTTATAACTAGTCACGGTACAAAGTTCCTGTGACCTTTACAATTAAACACGGAGGTATATATTACGGTAATTTTCCCGTGAATAAAACTATTAAACACGGGAAACACACTTTTAGACACTGGATATACCGTAATTAAATGGTCTTTTTCCTGTAGTGGATATGAAATTTTAAGAAAGTTCATTCTAGATGATCATACATTTCAATCTCATTGATAACATGCATTGATGCATATTCTACTATGATACTTTATTGTCAAAAAAACATTCTACAATGATACTTTATCCCTCCACTAAAGCATTCATAATCGAGCTTTTGCCACATGAAAAAGGAATTACAACTAGCTAGTAGGTGTTTTCGTTGTATGTCATTAACTAAACAATAAAACAAGGAAGTAAGGATAGCACATTATCAATTAGGACTTCTATGAATCATAAAATGGTCTATGGTATCGATGTTCTTGAGTATCAAACATTAAACTCATACAAGCATAGATGGTTGATCATCTCATCCATAATGTATAAGAAAATAGCATATTACATAAGAGTAGGAATAGAAATGGGGCGAGTTTGGGACGAATAGTAGTGTATCCGTGCTCTGTCCCGACTCATAGATAAATGATTCGCCCTACCTCACACCCCGGGACGGGTCGGCAAAATCTTATCCATTCCTTGCCCCGTACGGATCGGGTAATACCCTCCTTGATCCGTCCATATTTGAAAAACACATAATATTTGTAAATCTGTAACAACTTCATCATATTCATTCAATCAAATGTTCTCCAAATAAACTTGTAAATTGAATTCAATTATGAACCACAATCATTCCAACACAAAAGACATCTCTCAAGAAGCTCAAATGTTCAATTCAAGCAATAAAATTTCAGCATTCATAAAACAAAATACTAAGCACTCACGTTCTTCACTTGCAACAGCAGCAACCACATTCTTCACTTGCATCAGTACCAGCTGACACGTTCTTCACAGCAACAACCACGTTCTTTAGTCGGAGCAACCAACAGTACTTTATTGCAATTGCAGCAGTCACCATTCTCTGGTACACCCATTAGAAATAATGATATACATGAGAGCTGTTATTTTGACTCAATTGGATTTCACCTCTGAAAAAAATTAAAACTAACAACTTTGTATTTGGAAAGAAACAACCACCTAATAGTAACTCTATAATTTGGAATAAAACAGCCAATTGGATTCCTTGCTTTCGTGCAACAACAACACTCACTTGCAAGTCAAACACTAATGCATTCAAGAGCTGTTGCAATTGTGTAAACATAAAAACCAAGCAAATAACCAAATAAAAGTACAGAAAATGTCATTGAATCAATACCTAAGAATTATTCTCTGTCTCTCCATCAGAATCCTCAAGCACAGTACCATGTGAGACCTTCCTTGCAGTGGAACCGACTGCATTCAAACATAAAAAATTAGAAAAATGTCACTTTGGAAACCAACAACATTGACAAAGTATTATTTTGATAGTGATTATCTTGGGAATTAGCACATAGCAAGCTTTGAGCACACATCAACCATTCTACAGTTTCTGGGCTCAACCTACTTCGATGAGAAGATATCACCCTTCCACTATTACTAAAAGCATACTCTGAGGCCACGGTAGAGATATGAATAGCTAAAACACCCATTGCAACCTTATGCAATATATTATATTTATGTCTATTTGACATCCACAAACACAAAACATCAAAATCAATTGTGTTGGGTATTATTCCATCTTCCAAGTAAGAGTCCAACTCTGACCTAGTAGGATTCCTTTTCCTTTTATATGCATATAGAGAAAATTTGCTTGTTGCTTCCCTATTACTTGCAGCAGCTTCTAAACTGCTCACTTGAACCCCATCATTTACGTTTTGTTGTTTGTTCCTTCTCTTCATAGTCTTCAACTAACTTACGACATGTAGCAACAAGCTTTTCTATCTCCGTCTCACTTTCCCCACTATAAATCTCAGTAAAGAAGCAATCCATTACTTCCTCTTTATACCTTGGATCAAGTATAGCTGCTATCCCATTAAAGAACGCACTTTAGACCAATACTTATCAAACTTTTCCAACATATTTATGGCCATAGTTTCAATCGTTTCATTTCCACAAGCGCACCGCTGCCGTTAGAGCAATCTTAATCTCACAAACTACTTCAAAACATAAGTTGGCAGTTGGATATTTAGTACCCGAAAAAAGTTCAGCGGCACTATAGAACTTCTTTAGCCTACTACAAATATGTTCTGTCAAATCCCACTCACAATCAGTAGGCATGCATTTGTACTTTGGCTCCCGAATTTTCAAGCGATTAAAAACTTCCTTATACCCCAAAGCAGTATTCAACATCAAATAAGTTAAATTTCATCTAGTGTCACAATCAAGTACAAGCTTCTTACCGTTTTGATTACAAATTATGCGTGTAGCCTTAAGCTGGCGAGTGGTCTCCAGAAACTTTTCCCATCTCTTTGGTGTCTCAATCCAGAAATGAACACTCTCTCTGATTCTTTCTATATCATCTCCAATCACCAAAAGACCTCATTGACAATCAAATTCAAAATGTGTGCACAACACCCATATGAATCATACTTCCATTGTCGACTCATCATCACATTCTAAAGGAAGCTTCTCCATTAGTCGACTCATCATCACATCATTCATCGAGCAGTTATCAACTGTGACAACCTATAATCTATGATCGAGGTTTTAATCCACTAAGCAATTGAAGAGGTACATAAATTAACCTGTACAATGGACTTCACTTGTGTGCGAAGCAGGTACATAAATTAACCTGTACAATCACAAACAACACAACTTAATTAAACTTGTCAATATGGTAGATTGACAATATACTATAATAGACTCCAAATCAACATGTACATACATGGCGTAGTGTAATGCATTATAACATACTATGATAATAAGTTAATAACTGTAAGCAACCCTTTTCCAATCCTATGTTTATCATTCAATTCTCTTTCAATTGGCTATAGACCAGCCAAGTTTATTTGGTGCATCTATTGCATATTGAATTGTGATTATCACCTGGGTTTGCCTACTTAAGTTAGTTGAATCAACCACTAAGATAACGTGCAACAACAATCTTCTTGCCTTACTTTGCAGGTGCTATAGCCTCTGTTCATAAAACAACCAAACCAAACAGCAACATTCGACTTAACTATCATCAAATTAAAGTCATGTTATCAAAGTCTTAAACTGAGAGTTCTAAAACACATCAAAATCATGAATAATAACTGTAATAAGGGAAACCACCAAGTAATCACATACTGTAATAAGTGAATGGACACAAAAAGTACATGATAATTCGACTTTGCAGAGTCCAATTATTATCGATGTAGTGTGCTGTCAGTGCCATGAAACCCGTCTTCTGAGAAGATGTCCACATATATGTGGTTATTGCCACTTGAGCATCATTCTTCCTTAGAAACTCCATTGCAACTTATTTTTCAATATCATAAATGCCAAGACAATCCTTTTTATGGTGTTTCTGCACACCATCTTAAAGCAAGGATTCAAACTCATGTTGTAACTTCTAAAACCTTCATGCTCCACGATCAAGAAGATACTCGTGGCTTATAATTTCCTTAGCCAGTTCTTTTCGAGAGTCTCTTGACTAAAGATGAATGGCGTCAACTAGAATTTATCCTTATTATTCAGATTTCCTTATAGGAGTTGTTGTTTTATATCTCCAGGCCGCTTCATTCTAGGACATCGATTGTAATTATTCTTCAAATGAGCCGTTCCTTGTGATGGTTCTCCAACAAGCCTCTTCTGACAATATTTGCAGTCGGCTTTTGGCTTGCCGTCAACTGTTATCTTATTATAGTGTTGCCACCACTCCTAGAAAACCTTACAAGACGTAGGACCCTTGCGTTTCTCCTTCTCATCAGTTGCAGGTGGGGCTTCAGCAATAACCTGAATAACATCAGGTTGAGGGCCTTGAGGTTGGGAAGTTGTTGCCTCACTCAGAACATCATATTCAGTTTGAGTCCCCTCCATGTCCTGAACAATTTGAGGTCCCTCCTTGTTCATGTTCTGTACAATCATAAATTGCAAGATGGGAAAGATTCAATGAGCTTATATGAGTATTTGAATTTTGCATAAGCAGAAAATTAAGGGAGCAAACTATGGAATTGAATTTTCATTTAAAAAGATGTGGAACCATAGCCAATGGATAGTTAATTAATTCACATTTGATTCACACTTACGTATGTCAAACTGGTTTCTTGGTTTGGAGTAAGTTTCCTATTGCTCCGACATTGTTTCCAGCTACCTTCTTTCAACTGCTAGGATACACAAAGTATGTACATAGACAACCGTGATTACCATATTTACGTTGGATAAATTACACGTTTGGTCACTCAAATTATACAAATCTTTCACGTTTGCCACCCGAATTACTTTTCTTTCTTATTTGCCACTAACTTTACGAATCGTTTCACGGTTGGTCACCGGCCGTTACACTCCGTTAAGTTTGTCCTACGTGGCAGTCACCTATAAAGTTTGACCGTTAACTAGATGACGTGGAAATTAAAAAAATAAAAAAAAAATAAAATTTTCTTTCCACCTCATCATTGCACTTATTTTATCTATATAATTTATCATATTAATAATTTAATAAAATTTAATAAATTACAAAAATGTGCAAATCAAATTCCGGAGAATCACGTCAGGGAGGTGGTTATAATCCTTTGCGAAGCACTTGCTCAGAAAGTCTTTTCCCGATTCCGACAACTATCCTAGAAATTCCGGCCGGCATCCGTTCCTGACCTCCATCAACACATCCTCAACGTCGTGCAGCCTGGTCCACGGTATCTCTCCGGTGAGCATCTCCAGAACTGTACACCCCAACGCCCAAATATCCATCGCCGACGTCACTCTCCCATCCACCACCACCTCCGGCGGCACATATCTCGTCATTCCCCTATGCTTGTTATGACTCCCTTGAATCAGCTTCCACGTCTCTACCACCAATCCGAAATCTGCGACCTTCAATTTCCGAATCCCCTCCTCTCCCCTGTTTCCGGACTCTGCCGCGGCCGCCGGCGACCCAGGAAAGGCTAGAATGTTGCGCGGCTTGATATCACAGTGGACGTAGCCGAGAGAGTGGATCGAGGAGAGAGCTTGGAGGATCATCCGAGTGTAAACCCTGACGTGATTATCCGGAATTCCGGTACTTTCTTCTCCGCCGTACTTCGAAATCAAGTCGGATAGAGAACCTTCAGAAGTGTACTCCAAGAGCAATTTGTAAGTTCTCTTCCCGTTTCTCTTCTCCAAAGGCCCTCCGTCGAGGCACTGAACGATTCCTGGAGTACAGATGAACTTGCGGAGGACTTGGTGCTCGACAGAGAGTTGTGCCGAGCGTGTTGATCGCCGCCGCCTCCTTTGAGTTGACGCTTGAGGATCTTGGTTCTCCAGTGCTCATCAATCTCGTAGGAGACGTCCTCGAGCTTCTTCAACCATTTTTCGATGCCTTCATCCTTCCATTGCTTCTCTTCTGCATCCAACAGCAGAGCTCCGATGGCGGTGAAAGTGGATTTGAGCTTCTCCACATCTTTCGCAGCGCCGAGGACAAGCTTCCCGTGTTTCTTGAGCTCTTCGGCGGTGATGGAACTCATCTGGGTCAGGACTACAGAAACAATGGCTTCTGCTATAACCATGATGATGGAAGCAAATTAACCTGATAAGCTTTGAGGAGATTGACCGATGATCTAGACGGGAAGCTAGCTGGGAAAGGAATGGAAAACAAAAGAAGAATTTTCATCATTTTTGTAATTTATTAAATTTTATTAAATTATTAAAATGATAAATTATATAGACAAAATAAGTGCAATGATGAGGTGGAAAGAAAATTTTATTTTTTTATTTTTTAATTTCCACGTCATCTAGTTAACGGTCAAACTTTATAGTTGACTGCCACGTAGGACAAACTTAACGGCCGGTGACCAACCGTGAAACGATTCGTAAAGTTAGTGGCGAATAAGAAAGAAAAGTAATTCGGGTGGCAAACGTGAAAGATTTGTATAATTTGGGTGATCAAACGTGTAATTTAGCCTATTTACGTTGGAGGCATTTTCACAATGAAAGGCTATAACCATTTATTCTAGGCAATTGTCAAGACTAGAAGGTAAAGCTGCCTTCATATGTCTTCATGGCCATACTCACCATTCGGAGGTCCAAAATTCTTTTATATTTGCAGTTTACTTTTGTAACTGTTTCTCGTGTTGCTCTTGTTACTTGATATTTAGATGTGCCTTCAACGAATTAATTAAATTGACCACAAGGTGCAAGCAGTTTCATTCTTACAAACTTCAAACTAAAACTCACCACAACAAACAATCAAACATACCAAAGAAAACTAGGCCAATAGGGATTGATATTTACCTAAGCACTGTAATCGTTGTTGACCTCCTTGTCGGAAAGTGGAAATACCGTGAGCTTTCATGTATTTCTTCTATTTCCCTTCCAATGGCGTTGTCATAAGAAGAGGAAAAGAAAATAGAGTTGAGGAAGAAGGGTGTGGTTATAAAAGAGCCCTTCATCTTCAATAGTTCAATTTAATGATCGATAAAGGGGAGTTGGAAATTGGGAGAGGAGATGAATCATTAAAGGCACAAGGGTTTGTACGGCGGGATTGGGTTATGCCCGCGGACATAAATTTTTAGGGAGCAGGGTTCAATGATTGGAATCGATGGCATGCAGGGTCACTAGGTCTCTCTATGAATAATAATCGCTAGCTGGTGGGTGTCTGGATGATTAATCAACGGGGCGGAGTGAGCGGAGCAGGTCAGAGCGGTTTAGGCATCAGGATCCATATCCGACCTGTTTTAACAGGAGATCGGGTCGAGATCCGCCCCGTTCAAATATGGCTCGGATAAATTATCTGACCCATTGCAATTCGGATCGAGTAAAATCCAGCAGGGGCGGATATGGTTTGTCATTCCTACATAAGAGTAGTTTCCTAACAACCTATCATGATATTATAAACAACACCATAATAGCACATAATAAATTATATAAGCAACACATTATATAAGCACTAAATGACTAAAGTATCTCATGAATAAATCATCTTGATGCATAAAGCATCGAAGAATTCTCATCCTTCACAACAAATTAAACTAGCTATACATAAGAGAGAAGGATGGTACCACCATCGATGATGAATGCATCTCCTTAACTGCACCTCCCCTATGGATGTTACTTCAATCTCAACTCAAGCTGAGTGGCTCCTAGATCGACTAATTGCAGAGTAAATTTTTGTAATATTTGCAATGTACTAAATCTTATAGGATGACCCTATATCTATAGTACGCGAGAAAAAGAGATTTTAGGCTTGTCGACCTAAAACTCGTCCAAAAGCTTCCTTGTATGTCTGAAACTTGAATTCTCTCACTTGGGGACGAAGAAAGAATATTTAGGAATCTTCCTTTGGGCTTGGGCCTACGACGGCCTCTTGTGGTCGGCACCACCGATGATTTTCCTCCTTTAGTGGGCTTCTTGGCCCACAGGAAAGCCTACAAGAAACCTCTTAATGGAATAATAGTGCCAACTGTTATGTTATGGTTGGCGGCGGGCCAATGGCGATTGGACCGGTAATGGATTCTTTCTCTGTTTTGCTAAAAATTTTCTAGTTAGCTCATCTTGGACTCATATGATAACTTGTTCTAAGGTCTCCCTTCTTTTGGCTTCATTAAATGGATGAATTTCTCCTTGATTTTCTTATAATTATCGCCTTTCACCCTTTTATTTGATCCAATGATTGATCTTGAAAACCACAAAACCATACCAACAAGATATAAATGATACTAACACAATCTAGGTCTATAAGCACAGTGGTCAAATAGTTATGAAATTCATGGCAAAATGTACTAAGGATGCATCGATAGAAGGAAAAATATATCAAACATGGTAAGCAATACACTATTATTTGAGGGTTAAAGATGAAAGTATTTTAGACCTTGATTGTTTTCTTGAGATCCTATATTTGATACATTTCATTTTATATAGATGCATATTTTCTATTTTTTTTTTTATGAATTTTGTAACTATTTTATCTATCCACTTATCAAGACCTTGATCGAGTTTTAATATTCTTTATGCCCTTTGGTTATTATTTTTACATTTCAGGATAAAATATAATCAAGGAGAATTTAGATCAACTACTGGATATAGTTGGAAGATCAAAGTGCTTAATTCTAGAAGATCATGGAGGTTTTCATATCAAGCGTAGTTCATCAATTGAGGTTAAACCTTGTATGGAGTCGTTTAGGTCGAAGAGGAGAATGCTAAAGAAAAATTAGAACAATCGGAGGAATCCCAACTCGTAGGCCTAGACCGTCATCTCACCGCTACTAGGTCGAGCGAGGCCTATCAAGTTCAAATTCATTTAAGAGTTTTCTTATGGGCCATGCAACCCAAATCCATGAAGAAACCAATGGCGGATTCATCCGCCAAGACACAATTGCTACCCTATGGTTTTCGAACCTTCAGGAAGCGTTCTTTCTTATTCCCTAAGTCAAGGAATAAAAAATTCAAGTTAATCAATGAAGCTTTTGGCCGAAATTACGGAGGAAACCCCAAAATATTCCCTCCTAGTTTGTACCACAAATTATTAGAGGTTTAGGCTAAAGCTTTAGGCACACCTTACAATATTTCACACTACTCAAGGCTTGAACCCTTGAGTAGGAGGGATTAACAGAACTTCATCCGAAATTCTGGCCTTTCATTGGAAGAAAGGTTTTTAGTGGGATGAATGTTTTGTTCAGTGATTCGGATAGGAGAATGAAACTTTATTTCTATTGGGTGGTTTCTTCTTCTATTTGGCTTTTCACCCATTAAGCGTCTAGCTCAAGCATTTTAAATACATTACAATCTCAAAATATCCAATACCTCCAACTTACTTTTTGTTCCTATTTTTTGTTTTATTTAATCTATTCAACTACTACATTAATTCTATCACTTATTTTTTCTACACCATTCCATACAGATATACACACATAGCTAGTTCCAGCTCTGATATTTTAAAGCTTGATTATTAAACTTTATTTTCAACACCCCTCTTCTTAAAGTTTAATTCATTATAACTCCCAGTAGCGTCCTCATCTTGACGAACACGTCTTGCTTCAGTAGCTTCATGAAAATATCCACAATTTGATCTTCTGTCTTCACATATTTCAGCGACATTTCATTTTGTTCCACGCATTCTCTGAAGAAATGATATCTTGTATCGATATGCTTACTGTAATCATGAAACACCAGATTCTTTCATAGCGATAGGGCAAACAATCATCGACAAATATTTTAGAATTTTCATCTCCTTCAGTAGCTTTCTAAGCCAAATCATATGACACTCACACGATGTCACATCAACATACTCAGCTTCACAAGTAGATAGTGTAGCTATATTTTGCTTCTTTGAGCTTCATATGAAAGCTGTATTTCCAAGAAAGAATACAAATCCTATAGTGCTCATGGGATCATTCACGTCCCCTACCCAATCATTGTCGCGGTAGCCAACTAATTTGAAATTTGCTGAATAAGTATAGAGAAGGCCATGATCGATTGTACCTTTATTGTAGCTTAATATCCTTTTGGAAACATTCAAGTGTGACATAGTTGGTGCCTCGATATATTTGCTGACTTATCCAACTATATATAGAATATCAAGTATGGTACACGTCATATATCTCAGACTTCCCACAAGGCTTCTAAACTCCATTGAGTTTACCTTCTCTTCTGTGTCATCCTAGGATAAGTTGAGTCCACAATAAGCCAGTGTGCTCACAGGATTACAATTCTTCATCTTAAACTTCCTCAGGACTTACTTGGCGAAACAACTTTGTGAGATGAAAATTCCTTCCTCCTTTTGGCTTCAACACCTTATCTTCTTGGCCTTCAACGATATATCCAACAGATTGTGCCACATAGATATTTTCCTAAAGATATTCATTCAGAAAAGTTAACTACACATCCATCTTATGTATTTTCAATCCATTTTGAGCAGCAAGAGAAATTACCATCATGATACTTTCAATTCTTGCTATGGGAGAAAAAACTTCATTATAGTAAATGTCAGGTCTTTGACTATATCCTTTAGCAACAATCTTGCTTTGTGTAAGATGACTTCACATTATACTTTTTTGCCTTGATTATCAACTTTACTCCTATTGGCTTCTGGTTCTCAGGATGTGACACAAGCTCTCAAGTTTTATTCTTCTCAATTGCTTGAATTTCTTAATCCATTACTCTTCTTCATTTTTCATACTTCATAGCTAATATAACATCCACTGGCTCACTATTAATGAAATGACAATATAGTGTCAATTCATCACCATCAATGCTTGGCATAACCGCGTAACCATCTTCAAGTCTTATATACTTTTGTGGTCTTTCTCTTGGACTTTCACAAGAACTTCCTTTTGTACTAGAGGTTATGTGACTGGGAGGACTTGATTCAGGTGTATCTATATCCGATAATTCATCACTTTCATCCAAAGTGAAAGGATAAAAGATATATTTCTTATGTACTTTAGCAGTCCAATCCCATATTATTTCTTCATTGATTGTTATGTCTCTATGGATGATCACTTTCTCGTCTAGGGGATCAAACATCTAGTACCTTTTGAATATTCTGAGTAATCCAGGAAAATTACTTCTTGCATTTGTAATCCAACTACGATCTTTCTTGATCTGGTACGCGCACATGTCCCACACTTCTGAAGACTCGGAGATGAGAGATAGTGTGCTTCCTTCCTCTTCATGCTTCTTGGGGTTTTTGGTCCTAAACACTCTTCGCTAGCGAGCTATTCAGCAGGTAGACTGCACACTCAAGAGCTTCAGCCCATAGCTCATTCGGCATATTCTTGCTCTTTAACAGGCTTCTATCATGTTAATAACTATTCGATTCTCTCTAAACAACTCCATTTTGCTGTTGGGATCTTGGAACTGAGAGAAACCAGCAAATTATATCAAGGTTAATGTTCGGATGTGGTGAATTGATGAGGATTAATATACATTGTTGTGAATTGATGATGGTCAATGGTTGTTAGTGTGAGAGAAGTAGATGATGTTGGTGGAAGTGAAGGAAAAGAGGTGTAATTTTGCAAATTCTGAAAAAAAAAGTAAAATAATAAAATCACATGATTTTAGTATTTAAATCCTGGTTTTGAATGCTTTACAACTACTACATTCATTCCATAACTAATTTCTTCTACAGAATTCCATACAGAGATATACACGCAGAGCTAGTTCGATCACGTTCTGATATTTTTAAGCTTTATTATTAAACTTTATTTTAAAAAATGGCTAGCTAAAGCACTTTTGTTTAAAATGTGAATTCTATGATGTTTTACGTATTACTTATTATGATTTAATTATATGCATATTTTATTACATGCTATCTATTATGTGTTATCTTTGTTATGTGCATAATACCATCATAGGTTGCTAGGAAACTACTTTTATATGGTATGTTATTGGCTTATGCATGTATGCTTGATTAGACACGATTATTCATGCTTGTATATCATCGATGCTTGGCAGATTAGATTGCCAAAGCCAACTACTAATTATATGAGCTCATACAAGCCCTAAATAGCAATGCGCTATCTATACTTCTTTGTTCTTGTTTGATTAGTTAGTGTCATGAAGCAAAAACATGCATTAGCTAATGGTAGTTCCTTATGAATGTGACGAATGCTCGATTATGAATGCATTAGTGGAAGAGATATTGAATCATAATAGAAGAGTTGCGTGAATGATGCAATTCTCCCAACCGACCACGAACCAGAAGGCTAACAAAGGTAGACCCAGGTCAGAAGGGGATCGAGTCTCCGACCGGGGATCAGGAAGAGAAGAACAAGGAATTGGATTAGTGGAGCCCATGGTCAGGTGGGCTTAAATCCCCGGTCGGGGGATCCTAATGTTTGTGATAGGGGATCGAGGCTGACAAGTTAAACTTACATTTTGTGTATAGGATTCGTTTCCTTTTCGGATTTTTGGTTAGTTTTATTTTTCCAAAACTATTTAAAGGGTTGTGAACATGAGTTTTAGATCATAAGTTGATTATTGATTATTGAGTTGAACATGGTCCATCGAAGGCGGATTCTATAGAATAGAGTGTTGTCTCTATATCAATCGAGTATTCCACTAGATTGTGGTCGAGATTCTCCCATGTGTGAGATTGCACTTCAATTCCGCCTTATCCCTAGTTTTTATTGCTTATCTTGGTTGTGCGACTTTAATAACTGCGCGTTCCAATTTTGAGCTCGTTGCAAGTGGTATCAGAGCTCTGGTTCAAATCAGTGGCAAAGAAAAGAAGATCACAAGCTTTCTTCTAAGAACAAATAATGGCGGGGTCGCAGATCAATGCTTCAAAACTGTAGCAAACCATCATGGCGCAGTTTAGCGCAACCTTTCAAGTTCTATTCGGCCATATTACCAAGCGGCTGGACGCTCTTTTGCCGTCGTCGAAGATGCAAACCATTTATGAAAAGAGTTGGAGTTCTCCGGTGCAACAGAGTTCGAGTTCCCCTCGACATTAACCTAAAGGACGAGTCGAAGGAATCCGTCAATTCTAGATCAAATGGATTAGATTAGCTAGGTATTTTTAATGAATTGGTGGATTAGATTGAGAATTGTCACCTCTAGTTGGAACGTACTAAACCACGAGGGAATAGAAAGTTGGAGCACTAGAAAACGCTACTCCAAAAGTATAGGGACCAGACCAGCGTATAATTTCAATACCTGTGTCGCACGTAGGATGTAGTACTACTAATTGAGAGAGGAGAAATGGGAGAGAATAGAAAAAGAATCAATCAGAGTATCAGACAATCCCCCGTCCTCGCCTAATTCCCCAGAGCCAAGAGGTCCCCAGTCTCCGACTTCGAGAGAGCAGAAGAGAGGGTTGGCATCGCCCCCAAATTTCACCAGCTTCTCTACTTCCTCGGCGCCTCTCTCTCTCTCACTCTCTCTCTCTTCGGCATCTTCAGCTGAAAATTGGGATGTCTCGCCGAAACTCTTCCAATGGAGCCGACCGGCACCACCAAGACGGAGGACCCAGCAACACCACTCGATACGGCAGCAATCGGAACTACGTTCCCAAGACGCAGAAGAAATTCGTTCCGAAGCAACAGAGCCCTAACCCTAGCACGCCCACTCTCTCAGATTCCCTACGGCGATCCGCCTCATCTACGCAATCCGATGCTGCTGCTCCCTCGTCATCCGGCGGCGCCGCTCCGTCGAGTAGGGTCCGGATAGGGGACAGCGGACAGTGGGTGTCGAATAGAGCTGGCGTTGGAACTCAGACTGGCAAGTTTGTCAATTACTTGCCGCAGGATGAGGCGGTTGCGGCGGGGCTCGGGGCGGAGAAAGGCGGCCTTGATGCCGTTGAGTCGCAGAGAGTTGTTGATCTGTTGAATAGAGAGTTGGCTCGGCTGCTTAAGCTGAGCCCTAGAGAGTTCTGGAAGGAAGGTAATTGTTGAGTTCGTGCTGGGATGTGTTGTCTGCACATTAGTAGTTTGCAGTGGGAGATGCTCAACGGAATTGGTTACTTGGTTATGTTGTGCAATTGCATAATGTAGTCAAGGGTTTGTTTTGATGGGTAGGCAATTGATTAATGTTTCATTGTCTCATTTTCAGTGGCCAATGACGCATCACTGCATGGGTTTTTAGATAGCTTTCTAAAGTTTAGGAGCAGATGGTATGATTTCCCTTATCGTGGAGCCAAGGATATCGTTGCTGGGGTCATTGTTGGAGATCTTGAGTTATGTCGGCGTGTTTTCATGGTATTGTATCGCATGTAAGTTTTAACTGGTTTATGATACTCCGTTCTGTGATTATCGTCGCTTCCATAGTCAGGTGATAAAGATATTCTTTTGGTCAACTGTGCAGATCCTCTAATAGGGATCCTGGTGCCAGGGCTGCTGACAGTCTTAGCTCAAATGATCATTCAGGTTGGTAAAGTGTTGCTTGATTTTTCTGAGGGAAGTCCAGATCAATAGATAATTGTAAGAATTGAGAAATTTTCGGCTATGTTTGTTTCTTCTTCTTCTTCTTCGTTTTCTTGTTGGGTTAGGGGTGTCTGTATGATAGGCTAATAAGTTTACTTTGTGATTGCTTTTTGTGCATTTTGTTTACTTATGTGGTTTGTAGTCCTTCTGCAGGAGAAAAAGTTGCTAGATTTGCCTAAGTTATTGGATATATGTGCCATATACGGCCATACAAACGAAGAATTGACTGGAGTCCTGGTAAGTGTTGCTCCAATTGTTATACAATGTAGTGCTACTTTACTATTTTCTTAGTTGTTCTGTTTTACTGTTTCATTGAATATGTTAACCAGTGATTAGTCCGAGGTTATCTTATTATTCTTCTAATCATCCTTATAACTTAAGAATGTATTAGTAGATCATAGAGCCTATATGGGCCAGCTGTATTATAATTAGTTGGCCAAGTTCATTAAAAGAGAGAAGTCAGAATATTTAATAATGGAGGACCCCAAAATTCAGCTTGAATACAGTAAGCTTATGGTGATGTTGTCTAAATTATCTGCTCTATTTGATAGAATCACTTATCAAAAGATGAACTTTATGGCCATGATGCATGTCTCACTGAATCCTTCAGTTTTCTGACTGAAGTATACCTGACAAATTGAAGGTGTATGAAAATTGGAGCTACAGAGGGATATGGTCATTAAATATAACTGTTTGTTTATATGTTATATCTCTGTTTCTCATCACAATACTTTTCCCTTCAGGTGAAAAATGCTTTGAACTCCCAGCCCGGCATCCATTATAATTTGACTACTGTGATGTCGCACTTCCTGGGAATTGTCCAAACAATGTACCAACGCTGCACTTCATCTATGGAGGTACACTTTCTAACTGATTGAAGGCAACTTCTTTTACAACTTTAGATTGAATGGAAAGGTAATTTGTGATTTTTGTGCTTTGTTCCACAATGGTTCTCTTATTGAGACAAAATGAATCAGGGTTTATAGCTGATTTACTTCTGAATTGTTTAATTACTGTTATCACTGATGTGACAATAGGTTTTGTTTTCATCCACAAGCCCTGAAGTGGCTGGGTTCAGTCAGCTTCATAACGATTTCTTGGAGGTGATTCTTACTTTTGTTATTTAGCATCTTATAGAACTATTCTGTGTCTCCTAATATTGAAATATGGTCCCTTAATGGTGGTCTATCAGGTGATGGACTTCATCAATGATGCCATTGTTTCTATCGATGCGTTGGTTGCGGCATATAAACCAGCAGCGTTGTTCTTTTCACTCCCTGTGCTAATGAGGTTTGTCTCTATATTCCAAATTTGTGTAACTGAGGAAGGGAAGAGCTTTCTAAATGCTCTGTAACCTACATTGTCATTGCAAATACTGTTTATGTGCTGTGTTCTTACCTCTAATTGTTGGAGTGACTGAGAGATTCTAATTTCGGAGTGTTATCTTAGGCAGTAGGTTCTGTGCTGTTTTTTTTTTTTTTTTTGTTCTTTCTAACGCCTCGAGTTTGGCTTTATCTGATGCTCTAAATATATTCAAACAGTGATGAACATGGCGAGTTGCTGATCGTGCTAGCAAGATTGCATGACAGTCTCATTCCCTCTTTCCAGCGAGGGTTCAGGACGATGTTTTCTCAGCAAGGAGATGCTGTGATGATATCAAGTGTTGCAATTAGCTTGAAGATGTTATCACATAGAATTGCCACTTTTGGTTGGAAAATACTGGACTTCTGCTATTTAAGCAAAGAACTTTTTGAAGATATGTCGTGCCTTCCGGAATTGACAAAGATGTTTCCTGCAAATGTCGAGGATCCAATGATAAGGGCAGAGATACTAATCCAAACATTCAGAGAGATCAACGGAGTCTCACTTTCTACTTTGGAGACTCATGGTAATAGTACATTTCTAAAGAACATCGACAAGAACTTCCATCTTATGGATAGACTGAACAGCTTGCAGAGCACAGGCAAGTGATCTTCATTCTAAATTTGTTCTCACCTTATACTCATTATAAGTAGAATGCTACAATTTGGTGCACTTTCTTGTATGCATGAGCGTGCCATCCTCTCTCTGCATATACCAATGTGACATTTAACTAAGGGCATGCTTCAATATCCATGTGCATTATGTAGTTTCTGCTCTTGCAGTTTGGTAAAGATTGGCCTAATAATTAGCTCTTTGGGGAATGTTTGCGCTTCTTTTGCAGGATGGATATACTTGGATGATGAAAACCTCCAGTACTTATCTGGGATAATGATGTCTCCTCCTAAGAACACTGTTACAGATCCGCTTGTTCTGCCGCCATCTACTGTTCAGCCAAGCAAAGTGGTGATGGATGAAGATACAGCTTTCTTGGAATCCAAAATCAGTCAGATAAAGGACCTCTTTCCTGACTACGGTAACGGTTTCCTAGCCGCCTGTCTCGAAGTTTATAACCAAAACCCAGAAGAAGTCATTCAAAGGATACTCGAAGGGAATCTTCATGAAGATTTACAGCGCTTGGATATTTCATTAGCTACAAGGCCAGCTCCAAAATCTGATTCCACCATCAGCAGCAAAGACAAGGGTAAGGCCAAGTTGGACGAAACTACTCCCCTTCTTTCACTACAACCCCATCATCATTCGAGTGAACCAGTTCGAGCCGTGGATCAAAGGATAGGGGCACCATCTGGTTCATCCGCATCCGCCGTTGGTAGGTTCGTTAGAAAGTCTGATACCTTTGACAACAATATCCTTGATACTAGAGATGAAATGGACATAGCACGAAATGCGGCCCTCGTGTCGCAGTATGAGTACGACGATGAATATGATGACTCCTTTGACGACCTCGGCTTGAGTGTATCCGAGATGCGGTTAGAAGACGAAGAGTCGTTAAACCAGAGAATCCGGTTTGCTGATTCGGGCAAGTCTGAACAGGTTAATTCCGGTCGAGACCCATCAGAATCCTCGAAGTGGGGTTCCAAAAAGAAGCCACAGTATTATGTGAAGGACGGTAAAAACTACAGCTACAAGGTGGAAGGTGCGATTGCAGTTGCAAACAAGGATGAAGCTCAAATTTTGACAGAAGTGCAAGCAGGATTAATACATGGTCTTGGAAAGGGTGGTAATGTTCCGTTCAGTGGATCTAGGAAGTTGATGGATGAGCAGCAAGAGCAAGGAGGGCAGTCCGATGGACCTGAGGCGGAGAGAAGAGAGTACGTCGACAGAGGGTTTAGGGGTAGGGTAAGGAGAGGCGGCGGAAATGGAGTAGGAGGAAGGTCGAGGGAGTCACAAGACGAGCAGGGTGATCAACAAAATGCAGGTCCTGAAATGGAAGGAAGTGCGAATTTCGGAAGCTCCAGAGGCGGCAGGGGACGGGGGCGAGGTGGTAGGGCAAGTGGTGCGGCGGCTAATCACCATAGGAAGGATAGAGCAATACGTAAGCATCTAGCTGGGTTATGAGTTCTCTCTTGATCTGGGTTTTGGGAGGGTTGGGAATACGGTCTCTTTGGATGCACTCATCACAGGTTCTCCATATTTCTAATGAGTTTTTTGTTTTTGATTTAGGGGTTGACTGGTTGGATACTAGTTTATAATTCGGCCCGTTGGCCGATTAACATTATGCATGTTAATATTTGATTGTTTATATTTATTTTGCAACGATGTGGTTGAGTTCAAACCATATCAAACTCATTAGAAACACAGTCCATTAATGAAACAAATTATAGAATCCAACACTGGATCATAAGTGCATTCAATCTCGTGGTTTTCGATGAAGTTCGATCGAAATGTTCTGCCATTTGAACTTGTATGATGGGTAGGATGAAGGTCCAGAAAATATTAAATTCGATTAGGTTTGGTCTGGTTGAAAGCTGTGTTGCGTCCAGTGTGGTTTGGGGTTGACCAAATTGTTGCACACACGTATGTACATCCCATGATACTTAAAGATCGCATATATTGTCTCAAAATGGTCGTGGACATGAAGGAAATGGTAAATGCTTTGAATCCATATTAACACAAATTGGCAAAGAGTTATAACTTATAACTTGTAAGGAAGAGAAAGGCATAACTATAATACATACATAATGAATTAGTACCCGCATATAAGTAAGATTTGGACCGGGAACGAAGGCCTACATGGAAACGGTAACCAACACAACCCTTAACTAAGTTTAAGCGCATACGTGTATATGTAGTATTCCATGCAATAAATAAATGAAATCTTTCTACAAAACAATAAAATAAATGGAGTCTGCATCCTCAACAAAGTCCAACATTGAGAACTACTATTCCTAGTCATAAAGGAATAGGTAAATTAGTTTGATAAACTCCCTATGACTACTGTTTCTAAGCCAAAGCAGGGACTAATTTGAGGAGAACGTCCAACTCACAGTAGTTGGCCTCGTGGTTCCATTGCCCTATTTTTACCATAACTTCATATAGGTTCCTTTGAAGAGAGTTGAGAATGGAGATGAAGTCAGCCTCTTATAAAGCACGAGTACTAAGAACCCGCAGAAGCAATCCTTCTGAGGTGGGACGAGGGGAATATGACCTCAACTTCACTTGTCACATCCTGAACTGTACGGTAAATCTTAGTTAACCTGCTAGTTGGGGACTATGAACCAAATGAGCAGCTCAATTACACATCCAGAGAAGCGGTTAACATTCTCGTAAGGTAAAATATAAGTAAATTATAAGTCTGAAAAATGTTGGGACGGCGAAAAGGCGCCGAGAGCAGCTCATCTAGGACTGTGAGGAGGGGCAAATGGAGGTCGCCAAGCAAATTTCTCTTTTGCAGGTTGCGCTCGATGGATATAAGGGTGACTAGTTTACATGGACAAATAAGCGCATGGGCGGCTCGATAGAGCTCTTTGTTCTCAGGCTTGGGTTGACCTCTTTCCTGATACCCTCGTTAAACATTTTACTGATCAAGGATCGGACCATCGGGCCCTGCTTCTTTCCGACAAACCTTACGTACACAACAGCCGGCCGTTATTCCGATTCAACGCCCGCTGGGCTGACAATCCGGAAGTCAAGGCGCTGGTTACCTATGTCTGGTAGGAGGAAATCCCAGGGACTCCTATGTATCATCCACAATATAAAGGCCATCCAGGCAGAAATAGACCGGGTCAAACTGGTACTCCCGATTGACTGGGAGACTTTGAAGACCTTGGAGACTAAACTGAATAGGCAGTGGGAAGCGGAGAACGTTTACTGGCAACAGAAATCGAGGATCCGTTGGTTAAAAAAAGGGGATAAGAATTTGGCGTATTTTCATACGATTACCAGGGCTCGTCGTAAACATAATTTTGTGGCGGGTCTTCGTAATGATGTGGGAGAGTGGATAACAGTGGAGGGAGGAAAGGCAGATATTGCTACAGATTTTTACCAATATCTCTTTTCCTCAGAATGCCAGGTGCCCAACATGGGAGCACGAGTGTCCATGCTAGCAATTGAACGGCGGGTCACAGATGAAATGAATGTCAGTCTCACGGCAGTAGTCCTTCTTGAGGAAATAAGAAAGATGGTCTTCTCATGGGATCGAAGCAGGCACCATGTTCTGATGGCTTTATCGGGAAGTTCTTCAAATCCTTTTGGGACATTGTCGGGGAGTCTGTCATAGCCGTTGTTTGTTCATTCTTCTCCACTGTAGAATGCTACGCAGCTTCAATCATACTTGGTTGACTTTGATCCCGAAAGTTGACAATGTGGAGAGCATGAGGCAACTCCGCCCTATCAGCCTGTGCCAGCTTGTGTATAAGATCATCACCAAAATCATCGCTGAGCGCCTGGCCGGCTTGTTACCCCGGATTGTTTCCGAAGGGCAAAATCCCTTCATTCGTGAATGCCAGATTGTGGAAAATGTCGTTCTTGGACACAAACTTATGCACTACTTGAAAATCAAGACGCGATGAAAGAAAGGGTACATGGCTCTTAAGTTTGACATGAAAAAGGCCTATGATAGAGTCAAATGGTCGTTTCTCCTAGCGATTTTGGAGAAGTTAGGATTTAACTCCATGAGGGGAGGGTGGATCTATGAGTGTCTCTGATCGAGTTCGTTTTCAGTACTGATGAATGGCACTCCGAAAGGGCTTTTCACTTCCTCGAGAGGGCTTCGGCAGGGTGACCCGTTATTAGGGGGTGTTCAAATGGTTACCGTGGTAATAACCAAACCAATTAAGCTTAAATTTCATTAACCATGGAATAAAATGCCTTAACCAAACCGTCCAAATTAATACATACCAATACCCCTCATCATGAAGTTAAAACTCTTCTACAAAACACTTAAACTATACATAGTTTGAGGTGACTTTAATGGTATTGTACGTAATCCTAAAGTCTAGTAGTTGTCCAAAATATTTTGTTTAGTAAATATAGGTAGACCCATTGAATTTTTTACCAATAATGTTTTGGTTTGTTGTGCATATGGAAATAAAATAGGGAATCGCGAAAGTTTGGTTTGGTTGGTTGCATGGAAGTATAAATAATTTTGTATATTAGGTGTATCATTAATTGGTTAATTGGTTTCATTGGTTAGCAGTGTTGAAACCAAACCACCTAAACCAAATAAGCCAAATTATTTAACCAAACCAAACCAATTATCCAAATTAACTAAACCAAATTAACCAAATGCTACCGGTTAATATGGTTACCACAGTAACCAATCCGTTTGAACACCCCTACCCGTTATCACCCCTCTTGTTTGTACTTTGCACGGAGGGGTTTGCCGCCCTACTACAGAAAGCTATATCGGAAAAGAAATTGGAAGGTGTCAAGGTCACCCCTGGGTCTCCTCGTACCTCACACCTGTTCTTTGCAGATGATTCGTATCTGTTCTTCCCGGGATCACTTCAAGAATGCGAGAACTTGATTCTGGTGCTTAATGAGTACGACGAGCTTAGTGGACAGTGGGTTAACCGGGCCAAGTCAGTGGTCTATTTTAGCCGTAATATTGTCCTCCCGGATCAGGAGTTCCTCGCCCAAATCCTGGGAGTGGGTGCAGTGGGGGTACACGATAAATAATTAGGGCTGCCTACCTTGATATCCCGATCAAATATGGACACGTTTAGGTATCTGGAGGAAAAGCTCTTGGTCTCCTGCAGGGATGGAAGCATAAGACTTTATCTTGGGCAGCGAAGGAGACCTTAATCAAATCGGTGGCTTTGGCTCTGCCCTTACATGTTATGTCCTGTTTTCGTCTCCCTCTTTCGCTCTGCTGCCTATTGGATAGACATGTGGCCAGATTTTGGTGGGGAGTGGAGAATGGACAATCTAAGATCTGATGGATATCCTGGCGTAACATGTGCAGCAGCAAACATGATGGAGGGATGGGATTTCGCAGATTTGAGCATTTCAATCAAGCGCTTCTTGCTAAGATTGGTTGGCGGATTCTTGATGATCCCACTTCTCTTCTAGCTCAGGTGTATAAGGGTAAATATTTTCCCAGATGATGTTTCCTAGAGGCCACGACTAGATCGCACCCGTCTTGGGGGTGGCAAAGCATTCTTTTCGGGCGTTAACTGTTAATTAAGGGGCTTCGATGGCAAATTGGCAATGGTCAATCCGCCCTCTGATGGTAAATAATTGGATACCTAGGTTGCACCTGGAAAACCCTGTCCATAACCCGCGGGTTTTGCCCGCTGGGGGAAACCCGGTGGTGGCGAGATAATATACTCAGTGTAAGGGCGTTGGTGCGACATGAAGATGAGTCAGTGGTTTGATCCCCCAACTTGTCGGGCGATTAAGGAAATTCCTATCCCCTGCGAGGATGTTCAGGATCGTCTGGTCTGGCATATGACGGCTTATGGTATTTTTACAGTGAAGTCGGCTTACCATTTGGCTCTTCTTCTGGATAAAAAAGAAGGTCGGTGGAGATCGATGGCAGTTGGATGGATAGATCAAGTTGGATTCGCTTATGGAATGCTCCTATTCCCCCTAAGCTACATATTTTTCTTTGGAAAATTCTAAATTGGCTCATTCCCACGACTAAAGCCCTTCTTGAAAAGGATATTCCAGTTCATCCTCGCTGCCTAGTGTGCTGGGCAGATTCTGATACAATGGAGCATCTGTTCCTAGATTGTCCAATGGCAAGGGCTTTGTGGGATTATGCTAGTTTAAAATACCTTGGTCAAGGGATTCCTAGGCAGACGTTTCCCTTATTCCTGAAAAGGTTGATGATGTGTATTCACCAACCCCATCTGCCGATGGTAGTTGCTGCTGTTCTATGGCGTATCTGGCGATCTCGCAATTGGATTGTTTTTTTAGGGAAAGCAATTTGGGATCCCTGTTCTCATGCGTCAATTCAATCAGCAGTATCAGGAATGGATAAACCTTCCTGGGGATAGGGCTCATACGCGGCCCCCTGTTAGTGCTAGTCTGTCGCTGGGGACTAGCAATCCTGGGTCGTTCGTTTGTAAGTGGGATGGAGCTACCAAGCGTGGTTCTCATTTGGTGGGAGGGATGGTTGTCCTATCTTCGGCTGGGATGGTGGTAGGGACTAGGGGTGTTCAGTTTGGTTTCATTGATGACCCTTTGGTTGTTGAGATGCTCACGCTCCGGGATGCAGTTCACTGGTGTAGTGCGGCTGGGTTTACAGACGTACGATTTGAAGGAGATTGTCAGGTGATTGTTGATAAACTCAACAATTCTGAGCTCCGAGACAGTCGGATTGGTGCTCTTCTCGAGGAAGTTCTGCATTGCTTATCTAACCAGCAAGGGTTTAGTGTTCGGT